AGTTTCTTTCTCATTACAACCTAACCAGGGCAAGGAAGGAGACCGCCCTGCTCGTTATAAATGGTAGTCTACTCAATAATCCCTTCTGCTGGTAAGTCCTTCATTAAATATGAAATCCAGTTAAACATGAGCCCTTGAGAATCATTTCTGCGGTGAATACCCAAGCAATGACATTCACTCTTATTAATGTCACAACAACTATAGGGGTTATGGAGTACAGTCTGTTTCATAGTTTAAACAGTAGATTTGCACATTAAGTTTAAACATACACACTACTTAAAAAAAAAAAAAAAAAAAAAAGGGATATTGACATTTTCAGTTAGATTTGTATCACTGCATATTTTCAGGTCAATCATTAACAGTAATGTAACACCGATTGGTTAAACTGATCCATATATAAAATAGCTTGTCATCAATAGCCACAATTGAGGAGAGGAAAGAAGAAGAAGAAAAAAAAAAAAAAAGTCTCCATTTTTCTGACATTTTGAATGTCCACCATTTCCCTTAAGATGTTTCCGTTGGTTGAAAACGTTCAACCACAAATCAAAAATGTTCAAAAACAAAACTTCAATCATTTCTTTCTGGGGATGAAGAAAGGTAGATAGGTTATTCTGATTTTAAAAAAAACTTTAAAATCCACATTCGATTATTTCAAATACCATTTTGCTGTAGCGCAGCATATCACACTCACTGTGCTTGGCATCCGATAGTACGTTAAGGATTTCATCCATTATACACTAAGATTACTCCTATGTGACACTCGAATATACAAAGTTACATTATTTACCCTTACGGTTTATTTTGAACCACCACATGTAAGAGCAGCAGTCAATTAGTGTTTACAGTGAACTACGTAAGCGGATATTAATTTATAGTCACTGCAGACCAATGTTGCTCATCTTGTTTCAATCTCAGAGCGCAACATGACCTGGAGGGCCATCTCCACATGATCTAGGCTACTCCCAGATGGCCAAGAATGGAAGAAGGAATGAGGATGTATACTTAACTAGCAATCCAGGCGTAAAAGCCATAGCAATATAAAATGTATACAGCACACGGTGAAGATAAATATCCTACTATTCCTTTGTGTGATGCTTAAGTAGTCTTCTCAAATGCACTTACTGTAACTTGAATAATAAATAGACATTTAGACATAAAGGAGTTCTTAAAACCCTCTCAGTGATCCGTATGTTTGAAAGATGATGCTTCCCCAGGAAAGAGAAGCAGTTTGCCAAGTCTCAATAACCAGGTCAGACACATTCAGGTCAGAGCCATGTATCCATGCAGACAACTGCCGCATTTTCCTTGTTAGCTTACTGTAGAAGATGGAAATGCATTCCCCTAATTCCTTGTTAAAAGTCATAAAGTCTGCTCATTAAATGCTGCTTTAAAACAGTTAGTACCAACATAATATACATTTTAAATACCACACGTGCTAAAAAAAACTAAAAGAGAACATAAACAGACTGACAAATTTATGATAATGAGAATATGCATAGATATGACTGTAAAATAAAGTATTAACGTATCTATAAGTCCATGTTCTTGAAAATTTGAGAAATGATTGTTGCATAAATAAAATACATAAATAAATAAGAACCTACTGAGGAAGCTTTGATCATTTTCTCACTTATTTGACAAACACACTGAATCATGTCATCTGCATCAAAGTAAACCGACATGGGTGTGAACAGTTTAAATTTTTCTATAAAAAAATAAGAGTGTAACGGCTTATCTTGTTTGAGGAGGAAGAAAATCATCATTACTAAGCCTTTTTTCATCTTTGTTCATGTTTTCACTATCAACAATCTCTAGCTGCATAAGAAAAAACAAGGAGACCAATCAAATCACACACACCTCTGAGCAAATATGGAAACTCCACCTATACCCCTATAACACCCTGAAACAGAAGCTAAAAATGTGAGTGGCTATAATTGCTGTTTTTCTAATAACAATGAATCAAATGACAATATGACAGTGGTTGCTCAGGTGATGAACCTACAAAGAATTATCACCAGAAGCTTTAGAGCGAGTTTCAGTTCATTGTTGCTGTAGCTTACCGGCCCGCAACTAAGCTGTTTTGTTTCACTCGCACTGCTCTCACACTGCGTGATTTTCAGCCACAGCTGAAAAAGCTCTAAAAACCACTGCACAAATACAACACTACCTGCTCAGCGCCAAACAGCAGACAGATACAGAGACTAGCTGGTGAACGGAACTGGAAGAATCTCTATTTATATAGAAATATCTTGAATGCAACAGCAGCTGTGGATTTTCCAATCACAACCACAAACATCAGCCAATACCAAATTGTTCTGCATACTTTGGGACTTACCTATAGCTTCTTGAAAACAGTTAAAAACAGGAATATTACGGTATGACAAATTCCAGATTGTCATCTTCTAAGAATAAAAAAATTCTATTATACATGACCATTTTTAATAATTATAGGATTCTCAGTGTAGGTGAAGAGGACTTCCACTGAGACATGGCCACCTGTGAACTGGTGTCGCATACAATGAAAGAAAGTGGCAAATGTGCCCCTACTCCAGGGCTCGAGACTAATGGCGTCCTGTCGTCCTGGGTATGATAGAAAATGTTCTTGGGACGAAGAGAAATATTCTCTGGGACGCCTCTGGGACGGATCATGTGTGTGTTATTTATTACCATTTCTTAGCAAATGACAAACTGAACCGACCGAGCACCGACTACAACAGAGCATGTCTTCTCATGCTGTTACTGTAGTCACTATCACTGGCTGGCTGCTCACCTTTCAGTCACAAACGGCTTGCTGACCTCTCAACTGCGCTGTATATGCTAATGTGTTAAGCGCCACACATCAATCTTCTCACACAGTGAAACACATACATACACACACACACACACACACACACACACACACACACACACACACACACACACACACACACACACACACACACACACACACACATACACATACACATACACATACACATACACATACACATACACATACACATACACATACACATACACATACATACATACATACATACATACATACATACATACATACATACATATATACATACATACACCCAGCCCACCCCTCTCGTTGCGCGCTGAGATGCAGCCAGCGGACTCGCTGGTAGACTTTTGCTTTATAAACCTCTACAATCTGAGCTGCACTTTATCGGTGCTGCTGAAGTTAACATGTGGATTTGTGCTGAGATTGCTGCCTGAAGTGTGAAGTTTCGGTTGCTACCTCCAATGAAATGCAGTTCACTTGTCTCAGTCAGTACAGTCTGAAGGGGAGCACAGCAGAGTGTGGGTCAGGTAGACTTTTAAAAAAATATTATGAATTATCATTAAATAATGATGTTATTCTCATAATATTGCTTTTTTTCCTGGACATGTCAAAGAACACATATGTGGGAGAGAGATTCTGAATGCCCCGACAGATAACTTTTCAGTTTTGTTTTTAAATCTTTGTTTGAATCTAGCAAAATAAATAAATAAAATAATTATTTTATCAATTTATCATCATTTATTATGTCCCTAACAACTATAGAGGATAATAAAGTAAAGAAACAACATCTTGATTTTGGGACGCTTTACATTAACTTCAGGATGGTTCAAATTCTTTTGAGACGGTTCCAGGACAGAGGTGAAAAAAGTTAGTCTGGAGCCCTGCCCTACTCACTAGTTAGACTAGTATGTGTTGACCTTGGTTTAGAACCAGGTATCAAATATAGATTAATGCAAAGCCTACAGCGGTGTGAAAGTTATGCAAATAAGAGTGGCTATGAGTTATGGGAAACAATGTAGTCAAACAAGTAAATGTGGAAATGTTCCACTTCAATCTTTCAGCTTAGAAAACGCAAACCTGTTCCTCAGCAAAACTGTGAAACCAAGCTGTCTCGCATAGGAGAGGCACACGTCCTGTTATCTGGCCTTCTTGTTCATTGTTTCATTATTCAGGTCACAAGACATCTCTAGACCAACTGACTATGGTTTACGGGGACAGTCTAGACATCTAGAATTGTGTTATCTATAGTCAGTGTTTTAACCGTCAAAATGTGTGACTATGAGAGTGACCACAAATGTGGATAATACAGTAAAAACAAACGCTAGGCATCTGTATCAACGTAACTATCATATTCACAGCTCCGCAAAAGCTTTCTGGAGGGTCAGGAAGGAAGCTATTTCTTTGTGTTTGTGACAAAACAATGTGAAAACAATCATGTTTTTAAGAAGTTGTGTTGGACAAATGTCACCAATCTAAGGACAGCATATTGTGCTGGGAATTGTATATTGGTCATGCAAAGTTTTAATGTAAGCAAGGACTTATCCTGCCTCCCCCCCCCCCCCCTTGATCATAAAAAGACAACTTTAATTTATTCAGGATTCCTACGGCCTCATTATACTGAGCTCTGAGTAATCTTTATTCATGTTGTAGTTCAGGGGAATCTTTGATGGTTTTCTGTCAAGTTTTATAATCTCCTGTTCAGGTTTTTACTTATTGAACTTATGTAGCATATCTGCCTAAAGCCTCCCATCTAGCCATTTTCTATTAAATTGCCATCTAACTTCAGCCCAAAAGAAAAACTACATCATATTCTATTGTCAATCGATCTTTTTACGATGAAATAGGATGCTGACTGCACATAGAGCTAGTCTGACAGGTGTATCATGTATCTTGGCCTACAGCAGAACAAGGTGGGGCACTCCTGTTGTTTCTTGTTGGACTTTTACTTGTGTTTGACATAAATACATCACTTCAATGAAAGCAATTCTGTTCATAGAGACAGAGCTTTGCTTCAAGAGAGAGACATTTTAATCTAAATCCAAAAAAACAAGTAAATTCAGCATGTATTGATGTGTCAACAAAACATCAAATATCTGATACCACAAAACAACATCACAAATGGATGACTATGTAACCTTCAGGAGTTACTGGGGTAATAAATAAGGAATATATTCTAACAATAGGAAATTGCATGACCTGAATTATATACCTTGTCATTTAGGACTCAAGCGCCTGGATCCCAGTGGATTGCAGATGATAGATCCACCAATTTGCTTATCTAATGAAAAAGGACAAAGACAACATAAGCACCCACACATGAAGCAAACACCAACAATTATCCAACTGCTTCAGATAGATTGGTATCTCTTACAATCCATTTTTGATACAGTTTCATGGCAACTGTCTTTGATAAGAAATTGATTTGTGAATTACATAGTAACCTAACACTACACTGAAACTGTAAATTTCACATCATGATATCTACAAGTGAACAGGAAACCTCTAATCTAAATCTAACAACTAATTCACTATCTCATTACTTCTGTTTCACAAACTTCTTTCAATGACATTTCTGATAACTTTCAAATATAAAACAGCAATGAAGTGGCACAATAACATGACTAACAAGACATCTTTAAAGTTATGTGAATGTGATATTGTTGCCAGAGTATTAATAGTGACTATATAGTCTATTGAAATACATACTGTTCTATTGATCATTTGTCTAATCCCTTGTGACGGGGATGGAAAGCTGCCAAAATCCAAACCGAATAATGGGAAAACATCCTGTAAGATTTTTTTTTTTTTTTTTTTTAAATATGTTCCCTGGAGCATACTAATTAGCAATCAAATTTAGGTCAAAAGAACCTCTTTCCCTTCTCTCATCATGTTAAGTTATGCTTGTTAAGGGTTGGCTTTCCCCACTGTGGAAGCTAATGTTCAGTATGTTTGACAAAAAATCTAATTTGTCAGCGTATACTTTAGAAACTACATACAGCTGCTGAATGGATGTGGAATTAATTAAGTTAAGTATATACTAAAATAGCCAGGCTCCTCCTATGTGCCAAGTTTGTCCCGCCTGAAGACTTACAAGAATCACAGACCGAAACGAGTGGTTTTCATTTTGTTACCAAGGACCGTACTGCTTAAGCATTAGTGGAACATACATTGTAATGCACAAAGAAAATGTTCTCCTTTCGCTGAAATCTTTGTTTTATGACGGTAATCCAGCCTGACTAAAAAACAAGAATCTGAACGAGACTCAGCCTTGAAATGCATAATCTTGCTTCTCAGGTCAGAGTACAACACAACACAAGAATATTGTCCATGCATGTCTGAAAAAGCAATAGGCTTGCCAGCTGATATGAGAAACTAAGCCAGCTAAGAGATAGGATGATCTCCCCAATGTCCTTATCGTGCACAATAGAGCTATAGAGCAGGAAAGAGGGAGGGACAAAAAGTGGCGAGAAAAGAGGGGAGGAGGAAAAACAGAGAGAAAGAGAAATTTTGACTTATTCATAGGATCTGCCAATCAGCTGAAAACACATTGGACTGCACTGACACTCATTAGTTTCTGCTCCACTTCCTCTTGGGTGCTTTTACTCTCATCTCATCTATCTGGGACCGCACTGAATCTTGCCAAACAAAAGTTCCCTCCCTCACACACTGGAATAAAGCAAGCGAAGAGTCATTTTCAAACTGTGGGTATTGATGGTGGGGGGTGGGGCATAGCAGCTACACCAACAGCCTTTCATTAAGACAGCTCCCATCCTCAATGCAGCTATAACATGAAACCAAAAGTAGACTTCACCGGTGCCTTGTTTACATGAGCTCCATCAATGAGGAAGTACTTCGTCCTGTGCACACTAAGATGTATGTGGTTCTGCATTAGGAACTGTGTTTCGCATAAGTTAATACATATTTAAAAACTGTAGAGGATAAATATACTATTTCATGTTTTCATTCTGTATTACTGTAATCTAACAGTGTGCAGCCTTCCAGCATCTCACACTTTAATTCACTGGGGTGACAATTTCAAGGGAGGATGACAAAAACCTTACATTTTTAATTAAGTTTGAATTTATAAGCTACAAATAACCAACATACTATACATGTATGGTTGGCAAACAAATAGTGACCAGTAGCTATGTCTTTTTAAACAAATCTCTTGTTATTAAAAAAAACACCCCACACACATTAATAAAACCTTAAAGCTCCAAAAGGCACCTGAAAGACATCAAAAAGAAATCCATATGTTCTGGACAGCTGTATAGAGAAATTAAGATATAAAATTAGCCACTAGTGTGATGGCTTTTCTGCTCTTTGTGTAGTAAATCACAGAGATGGAGCGAAGTAATAGAGTTGTTTGTTTGCTATGGTAATAATGTCATTAGTTTTGATTACTGGGCTAATTGAGAATTAGTAATACTAGTAATTCTCTGTTCCTTGTCCTGGCCAGTAGGTTGTTTGCTCTGCTAATAGACTCTGCAGAAGTCAAATCAAATTTGGCTCATTCTCAGACTGCTGTCAAAGATGACGCTGTGAGCAAACAGACTAGTAAACTCGCTGCAGTTAAAAAGGTGTGTTCGTTTTAATGACGTCAACATTGAAAAGAGATACTCGCTGATCAAGGTGGGGACAGACCCGACTTGTAGCTTCTTTACATACAGTCTATGGTTCTTTAGCAATAGTGGTAAACAGATATAAACACTAAGCTATCATAAAACTACAATCTGTCACATGACATCCCAGTCAGGTGAAGGTGTATTAGGGTCAATGAACAAGGTGTTGATCAGCCTGTGCCTGTTCAGTCTGTTTAAATCACAGCACACTGCAGGCACCGAGATCCAAACATGGAGCTTCCTTATGGGCCCAAAACCACCACTTTGCATGTGCACACAAACCAGATTTTATATTATTTAAATATTAATCATTGTACCGCCAGCTTTAACCAACGATGAGTTGTTCACATTTGGCACCAAAATGCAGCTTGAGTGATCCTTTTACAAAATTAGCAGCTCTAAAAACCAAGTGCGACTCGGGCAACTTCACGAGATGCAGTATTTCATAGATTAAAGCACAACAACAGAAGGATGATTGCCCAAAAGGTCGAATGTGTACCCAATGATCGAATATTCAGTCCTATTTGTAATGTGTGTAAACAGATAAAAAGTTGTTTTTGCTCCAGTAGTTTCAGTTGCGTGACACAAGTAGCAACGACAAACCACAATCTCCTTGAGCGACTACAATATGGATCGCAGATGTACACAGATCATAAACAAGACAAACTGTATACTTTCTACCGGGGCATGTCAGTCTGGGAGCCGAAAATGTATAACAGTCTATTGTTTCGTCTTTGAGACGGTCCAAGGAAATGGAGGATACGTACGCAGTAATTTGCATACCGAGCAAGGAACAATAGCGGGAAAAATATCTAATCACAAGCAGTCACTTAAGATATGTGCAAGGTGCATGAAGTATTGAACCTAATTTGAGCTGCAACCCACCTCAAAAAGATACAGGCATGTAATCTGTTCAAAAATAGACTAATATGAATAAAGGCTGAAAGGTCTGAACATGCATCATACATTTCTAGATTAAAGCATTTAGGATATGATCATCATCATCAATGTATTTATCTGGAATCTGGTATTTACAGTGACAATAGTAATATCATTAGCTGGAAAAAGAATTCACAACTTAAGAATCAAATATATCAAGTACAGCACACAATATTTGTAAAGTAACCGTTTTCGTTGCTGCATGTTCTTCTGCTGTGAATATGAATGAACATGAATATGGATGAAGCAGGCTGTACTGAGCCGCTACAGTACATATAATTCAGTGATAATGTAATTTGACCAGCCAAGATTTTTAATAAAAATGTGTTTCTACCACTCAGTAAACATGCTGCCCTGCAAACAGCCCCGTTTGACACTTTGCCTTTTTATATGGTGGTGACATCTGGCAGGGGAAAACTTCACTGACCCAGGATATTATACTTTTCTTCAGCATGAATTTTGCACGTCTTGTTTATAACTTAAAATGCACACCAATGTATCTGTTGTTCTGAGGTATTGTTTGGCTCTGTACTTTACCCACTGCAAAGCTGAGCTCAGACCGCTTATCATTTGTAGACAGCTTGAAGATAATGTATTGTCCAGCATACAGCACATAAAAATCAGTTTGGAAATATAGTATGAAGGCAGCTTATAGCACAGATATGACACTAATCTTCTGCTGAAATTACAACAGACCATTTCTTGCACAGTTTGTCTTAGAGCGTTCTTTCCTCTTTGGTAATCAAAACACTTTCAAAATTCTTCCATTACATAAGCTCTTTTACATAAATGTCTTATTTTCCCATGCGTTATATAGGGAAGATCGCAAGCTCCTATGTGGTGTCTTAATCAGCCAGTAGACACCAAACTAAAAGATTTGGCTTTATGAACATATCTACAGATAGACAGTAAGACTGAAGAGCCAGACAGATTTCTCTCCTAACTGGGTCACAGACACAGGGAAAGCATAGGGGAGAAACTGAATGTTAAAACTGACAGACCAGCAAGCGAAATATTATGCCAATATACACTGTTCCACAAATACAGTACTTCATTGCACCTAATAGACTATTCATTTAATACTGATATCTACAGTTACCTGCTATTTGTTAAGCCAGCTTTAATGGCCGATGGGCAACAGACCAACAACAAGAATCCATAAATGTGACGGTGCTTTGTTTTTCACCATAAAGTGGTAGTTAAATATTGCTGCTCACCCACAGACCTTCCTCAGATTGTAAATCAAAATCACCTGCTGTAAAGCGTGTTGACAAAATACATATGAAATCGTCAACACTCTAAGAGTAGAAATCTTACTGAGCAACATTAGAACAAAGAGTGAAATTAAACAAAAACACTTGGTGCATATTCAACGACAATCATTATCAGTCTCTTAAAAGAGCAGACAAATTTAGTACTGAAGTGCGTCTTTTCTACAGCCCGAGTAAGGTCAGGACTGAAAGGTTATAAATTATAAATATCAGCTCGGGATATCCCTCCTCTGAATATAGCTCTAGATCAAGTTAGCTGTGCAGCTTAAGTTACCATGGCAATCTACCCTTAGGAAGAGTGTGCCACAATAGTGGCACTGAAAACTCAGTTTAGCATGAGCTGACTGACATCATGCAATGAGGAAGCATTTGCACATCCATAACATCTGTGTGGGTACTTAGTAACAAAAGAATACCTGCGCACTGCTCCCTCGTTCCCAGTTCATCCTTTATTCTACATGGACATGACAATGGTTTGACATAAATGACAAATATTCTTCCTCAGGTGGCTGACTATTAACGCCTGGATTCCACTAGGCACGGCCCTATAACGTCATATCTGTGACCCAGTTTTGTTCCACCCTCGGCACGGCTTCATACCCCACAGAGAGCGTTTCAGAAGCGGAGTGTTTTCCCTGCCTGATTTTGCTGACTTGCTAAGATTTATTTGATTTGGTCATTTTCCTTTATTCCTGTGCTTCTACCACAGGTAAATTGTTTCTTTTTGTCTGTTTTAATTGAGTTTGTTGATATTAGTTATTTTTCAATAACAATAACGTTGGATGAAAATTCAATAAATGTTTGATTTTATTCACTTGAATCATGACTTAGTTTTTTAATTAAGATGTTGATGATTTTGTTGAGGAAAAAAAAAAGAATGAAAAAAGCTTTTACTTAATTTTACACATTAATATTTGCTGACAAAGATTTTATCCTAATTTTTTTGAATGTTGTACCTCAGATTTGTGAAGTGATCCACTGTTTGGCATCAAGCATTGACCAGAAAGAAGAGTTTGAACCACATCAGGTTTCTTCAACTTTCACTCAAGAGCAAAAATTTGCCTTAAAACTGGAAAGAAATAATGATTTGATACGTATTGTGATAATAATTGATGTGGAAAGATATGAAACTTTTTATCGTGAGAAACATTTTTGGCCATATCGTCCAGCCCTACTTGATATATGATCGAAAATCTACACCGGTTGTTATCTTATAAATAGACCAGATACTCTATGCCTTTTCGGTGTCTGCCCGGTTCAATTGGCTCTGTGCAGCTTGAAAATAGTCTAATATTCTCCGTGGAGCAGAGCGGACAGGCACTTCTGGGACGCTCCTGAAAATGCGATGCAGCGCATCTGGTGGAATCACAAGCATTGTCCAGAATGACTGCGATCAGTTCAGGTTGCCACGCAACCCAGCCGTGCCTGGTGGAGTCCAGCAGTAATCCCATGACCTTGCTTTGTCCACACGCAACGTCAAAACTGTAATCACTGCCTACAATCAAACACACACTTTCATCTGCTTTAAGGAGAAGGACAAACACGTCTCCTATCACCGATCTCGGCAGGGATTCAGATGGATCATAGAAAAGGCACGGAAAGGCTCAAAGGAAAACATTTCACATACACTCATATCCAAAACAGTCATGCACGCACATGCATAACACTGCGTATCTCTTAAAGAAAGATGTCGCACCAGTTCAAACTCTGAAACTATGTCTAGAGTTGTAGAGAGAACAGAAGTTGGCTGAAAATGGCAACACTATGTGACACACTAGAAATTGAAGATGTAGGCTCAGCCATTCTCTCAGTGTCTACTAAAACAAAAATGTATGGCACACATGGACAATAAAAAAAAGAGCCAGTTACATTTACCACACCAGGCACAGGACACTCAGGCTCATCTTTAGCATCCACTCTTGGGTGATAACATTTCTAAGGCCCATTAGACTACAGATGTTTCTGGGAGAACTTAATTGTTCTAAAATGTTCTAGGCCTGCAACTAAATCATTTTCACTAGTGATTAACCTGCATATTATTTAATGGATTAATCGTTTTGCCTCCAAAATGTCACAATAGTTAAAAATGCCCACCACAATTTTCTAAAGCCGAAGTTCTTCAAATGACTTGTTTTGGCCAGCCAACAGTCTAAAACCGAATAATGTTCAGCTTTCTTGCTTCTCTGTCAATCAAGTTATCAATTAATGGACCAATAAATTAAGCTCTATAAGGATCAGTAGGCTAGTATAGAAAACTCTGTGCATGCAGCTGCTGCAAGAGGGAAGGCGGCAGAGCTGCTTGCACAATAAAACAACTTGCCAAATGTCTCCGTCTTTAAAAAACAAGGGAAAAATCTAATCTTTAAAATGGGAAAATCCATTTAACTGCACCAACTAAATACATCTATCTGCATGGAAAACAGTGATGGCAATGTGAAGACAATCTTCCACCTTTAAAGACAAGTTTGTTAAATTTTGCAACACACCATCATATGCAACTCGTCAGCAATTACACAAGTATAATAGTTATTAAACAGATGTTTGTTGGTCCACGTCATCAAATTCATTGCTGACACATTGCTCTGGCATTCTCTTTCCTTTTCACCAGGAGGGTAGAAAATGTATTTGAATTAGTTCAAGGCCAGATATACTGAAGTTGGTAGAGGAGATCTGCACTTGAAAATGATTACAAAAAAGGAGGAATATTAAAAGATGGGGGAAAAACTAAGCTTCCATCTGGTATAAAGTGCCTTAAGACAAACAAGCCGATAATCATACTCAATACATTTACTCAGCAGTCGCTCAACTCCAAGACTAGGCGTCAACAAAAAGTCCAGCTAACACCATTTCTTTAAGACATCCCACTCTTCTGACCCTCTTATGAAATCAAAAAGCAGTTTCCTCCTCAACTGATATCCCACTGGCGCACAGCTCAGGGTGATCACTCACTGTGTCCCTTTCCAACAGGAATTACCTCACCCCAAGGAAGTAAAGATAGCATTTCATTAGGCTTTAAAAGGTTATTGCCATCAAGGAAACCCAAGATGAGTTCAGGCTTGTTGACAAAACAGTTTGGGGCTGTTTAAAAGCAACAAAATAGTTTTGATCTGGATGACCCAGGCCTAATCCTTCATACCTATCAAAGTATATTATAGAGATATGGGAAAAATTCACAATGTGGACTTTGGATTAACCAACCAGGAATTAATGCAGCCAGTTAACTTTTTACAATAATGACGTAAAAAAAAAAAAGTTATTGACACTTTTGTTGAAGACTGTTTTCTTTACTTTCTTTCGGTCTCCAGATGGCACAACAAACTGTGTCGCAAGTGTATCTGTAACAACAATAGTATGGCACTAGTGTGAGAAAGGAACAGTGCAGTAGAGGGCCTTTGTTAGAGTAAACCTTATCTTGCACTCTGGATAAGGTCTGTTGTAAATGAACACACAAGGAACTTGATTATTTAAATGTTCACCTACACAGGCTTTCAACACCGTAATGGAAACATTCCACTGTTGTTGTATATAGTTAGAGTAAATTACCCCAAACTCTGGAGACATTCGAATGTGAGACTATGCATATCATCAGACAATATTATAATGGATAACTGCATAATAATCTACAAACAGCTGTCTGCCAGCACTTAGATTGTGGGCCTACAACAATGACAAGTCCCAGGTGATATTTACTAGTCTTTGTTTACATCTTATTACAGCAAGGATGGCTAAACAGATCAGTTTTACAACACAACAATGCCAATCATTTGAGTTTTAAGGCAGTAGAAGCCTTCTCTGTATTTCAACAAGCGGGCATTTATCTACCTATGGATGCCTGCAGTTTCCCCCCTCTCTCTTAACATACCATGTGTGCTCTCTTTAGACATAAAGCAATCCATACTGTCAGTTTCAAGGGGTAATCAAGGGGTCAAGTTTGAATTTGGATATGGATATGGAAATATGTCTAATCCCCTTGACAAATCAGAACAGTTTTGGTTTAAAACATAATTCACTCGAGAAGACCTACATTGCAGTGATAATGTTATGCTGTCATTGGTGTGTTAAAACCACAAAACGGAATTCACGGATTTAAGTCAGGCAGCTTGATGTTATTTTCACGTGAACATCACTTGCTTCATGGTTCCCTGAGATTTCTCGGGGTTGTTTATCTTCACAGCATTTCCCTGATAAATGATTAACTAACAGCGGATGTGGAGGAACCTGTTAAAATAAAAAAAAATGCTAAAATCAGAAGCCTACAGAGATTGGCTTCGGATCTATTTAAAATCTTAAAATCAGATTAAATAAAATTTCAGGAGTCAAGTAATCTGATTAGTGAAGTGGTGAGAAAAATGAAAACGCCGATGTGTTGAGTGCTCAGCACACTAATCCCTTAAATGTCGAAGCGCTCAAGGTGCTCCGCAACAAAAGATGTGACTGCTGTTGCACTGCAGCTGTTACCTTAATGCCTACCTAATATTGGAGATGGCAGTAAAATATATCTATGTTAATGGCTGATACATATAAATGTACTCGATTGCGTTATATTGGATATTCTGGTGACTCCAAACAGACAAGAAGCAGTCAAGTAACAAATGCAAATAAGCAGCTGTTGACGTGAAACCTACCGTAACGTAAATACAGACAGCTGCCTAAATGTCTTGTTACCGTCCAAAAAAACCCACCATTGTATCAGAACAGGGATCTGGCCACAGCTATTACAAGATTGGTAGCAGTCAGATGTGGCTCTAACATTATAATTTCACTCTTAAAATGGGACTGAATTAATGCAAGACTCAAGTCGGACAACGTCAGGACGGGACCCCGACGATACGACGCTGTAGCTAGCACTGATGTTAGCATGTTGTATGGGGCCCCACAGAAAGAAGCAGTAACTTGCACAAACAAAGAGACTTACCTAAATTACTTCCGAGTCAGCGTCTCATTTACTGATGTCCAGGTTATTGGCGGGGTGCTACAATCCCAGAAATAAAATACGTCAAGAGGTGGGCATTAGCTAGATTTGCTTGAGGTTAGTTCAATTTTGCTAGTGTTAGCAGCTAGCTAATGTTGCCCACTTAAAAGAGCAACTCGAAGCTGGCCCAGAAACGTTACGCACATTCTCCTCAGCGAGCCGTCCTCAAGTTGTTTAACGTTGTCGTCCCCAGTTGTTTTCTCACTTCAAAGTATTCACCTTCCAGGTGTTACTCAAACAAACTAACCGAAGGCGAAGACAGGAGGGGGGAAAATGGCCCCTTAATTTGTAAGACTTGATAACACAAGAGCATTAAAAAAAAAATCCAAAATGTCCACGACATTCAGCAAGGAAATACAAAAGGCAAAAATGCGTACGACCTCCGCCAGAGCGAAACCTTTCCCACTAATGCGTGCCGCACCCAGGTGTTTTCAGTCATAATCTTTCGTTTAATCACGCAGCTTTGACAGAGTCGACTGAAGCTACATTGACGCTGTGAGAACATGAAGCGGTGGGATTCTTCCCTGCGACCTCTGTGCCTGCATGTAGGAGGGGGCTGTCCACCAGAAGTCGCCTTTCTAGCTACCCCGTGCTGATGCTTTCACTAGATTATCTCTCCCAGACACTTTCAGCGACTCCCCGTATCTAACTCAATCCATTGGATTGACAAAATTATTTCCTTACTGATTAGGTCCAGGATATGGCTTCACACGGACTACAAACGATGAGTTTACGGACCAGGCAAACAACAAGACGTTTTATTAAACCAAATCCACATGTATAAATAAAATTTTATTGAATAAAAAAATAGTCATTCTCAGCACAGACAGTGTAAAAAACAACGATAACATAAATTTTTTCATGTTAAACTCACAAACCACAGCATTTGCTGTCTTGTGGCGCCCCCTGGTGTATATATAACTTTCTTAACTTTTAACTTTGCGAAGGAATTTTACAGCTGTGCTTGAACACATGCAGTTTACCATCCTATATATCTGCATACTCACCTAAAATAGCTTTTGGTAATCGTTGAAAGAAGATTTTGAGCATTAAACACATTGAAGACATTAAACAGACATTTTCCTCACCGATTTATGGTTGAAATGTCTTTATAAATATAAAGGGAAACACAAAATTCAGGTGGTAGAGGACAATTCAAAATATACAAATATGATGGAATATAATGCAGTAATCAGCAGCTTGTTTTTTTAACTTAAGTTACTGTCTTGGAAAATGTACATTTGTTTCTTAGATATTTACACTGAAATGTGTGTTTTCTTTTTGTGCAAATAAACCTTTTTCAAAGCATTTTTATTTATTATTTAACATTTCTCATTGCAAGCTATTTTTAAGAACCATTTTAAGAAATATTTTTAAAAAGTGATGGGGACAAAATCAGCCATTTCAAAAAGTGGTGGGGACATGTCCAGAGTAAATGACACCTATGACTGTAGATCACAAAAAAGCCAGGTGGGTGATTTGCATGTTTACAATGTACACAACTTGTAGCTGTGGACACTTTTTTTCACAAAAGACATTTTTGACATGTCCCAGTAGGAAAGCACCGGTGTAAATAACTCTGGCTGAAATCCATTTAGCAGCTTCATTTTTAGGGTCGTGGTACGGTGTATGCCATGGCCTACAGGGCTACAAAGCCAACTCAAGTTAATATCTACTGTACATTGAACAAATGCCAACAGGCAATAATAATAATAATAATGATCTTTATTAATAGAGCACTTTTCAAAGCTGTTAGACAGTGCTTTCATAAGTCAAAAAACCTCCAGGTTTTAAGATAAAACAAGAAACCATTTTAAAGGAATTAAAATACAGTTAAATGAAAAGAAAAATAACATCAACTAAAATCAGGAATAGCTCTCCAATAAAACTGTTTTAAGAAGGGAGTTCACCGAGCTGACCTGATTTCCTTGGGCAGGCTTTTCCAGAGCCTGGGACCCAGAGTGCAAAAGCTCTGTCCCCTTTAGTTTTAAGGTGGGCTTCTGGACCTCTATTTTTTTATTTTTATTTGAACCTTTATTTAACAAGAAAGAAGCCCATTCAGATATAATCTTTTTTCAAGGGACACCAGGCCAAGGTTGCGGAACTGCATTTAAAAGTTACAGTGACACATATGGCAATACAATTCATCAAAATATCTTCCAAGACAGCTGTACATACACTTAAAGCCTATGGGAAACTCCTACACTCCTCCTTAAGGATATCTGCAACCAGAGAATTAAACTCCCTAAGTCGTATCAGCACCTCCAACTACAGAATCTTTTTAAGGAGTTCCATGTTGAGGGTGCACAATATGAAAAGGCAGTATTTCCTAACTTGAAAACAAGCCTGGGGACTTTTATATGCAATAGCCTGCTAGAAAGTGTTTGGTAACTACTGACCGCAAAGTTAAGGAGGCTACAAAGGTAACCGGGTAATTTGCACAGGATTTCCTTGTGGATAAAAACACACAAATGTAGCCGTCTACGTGTTGCTAGAGAACACCATCCAAAATTTTGTATAAACTACAATGATGGGTGGATGATCTGGCATTTGTGATAATCCTTTGCCTTAGGATCTCAAAGTACGTACCGGTGCATACGGTACTAAAAAGGTCAGAAATATAGCAGGGGGAGAGGCTTTAAGTAATCAATAATTCTAAAATACACTGGGAGCCAGTGAAATGAAGCTTTAACAGTTTTGTTTTCCGTTTTTGGTTAAAGGTATGGAAGCTGGGTTCTGTACAGTCTGGAGTCAATCAATAGATTTAGAAATACAGAAATTATCAGGTAGAAAAACTTAAACACAGTAATGATACACTTCAGGCAAAGCATTTTTCTGCATCCAGACAATTATAAATATACCATGCTTTCAGAAACTCTTAAATGTATATTAAGTGACAACCCTTTGTGTTTCCTGAGAACTGAACAGTCCTTTGCATTGAAAGAAGGCATCCTGGCATGGGCCACGTCCGAGGAAGGTTTCCAGCATGTCAGTTCCATCCACAGAGCCACCTGCTTCCAAGATCACCCTTCTGTACTCTCTTCCCAGCTGTGTTAAGGGACACATGTACAGATAATTACATTTCACACAGAAAGTGAGATGTATACTAACAAGCAAATGGATATAACATATAGTACTAACCAGACCCACCTTTGGATTCAAAATGCCTTCTTTTTTAAAACGACTGAAAAAAATGTCCATGGAGTAGACTTCACTCCATAGGTAGCTATAGTACTGACCATCATATCCTCCAGCCAAGTGGCTGAAACTGGCTGTCATATTGGTACCTGCAGAGAACAGGTCTTTGTCATCTCATCAAAATGGTCTTTGTTACAAATTATTCACACACATTCCAAAAAACATCATTAGAGAGGTCTAATATACTCATTTTATACAGGAAATGACACACAAATGCCAAATTGGTGCTGTATTTCTTGAATTTCAAATTGAACAATTTAGGTGTTTATTCCTCCTCATATGTGACAAACAATTAATACTATATCCTACATAGCCAACATTTGCCTTGCAGTGCAACGGCTGGTAATGCTACAACTGACCTGGTGTGGCAGGAACACCAAGGATGTCCTGGCAGTGCTTTGCAAACACCTCTGCTGTATCTGCATGAGGGCTGGTGTGTAGCGACTGGTCAACTTTACTGAGGACTACCTGACGCAGGTTCATCAGTCCTGAAAAAGATAAAACAGGTCAACATATCCACAAGAGTCTTGATTTCTGCTTAAATGTTTTTTTTTGTGTGAAAACTGAAGTGTCTGACCAGTGTTGGCTACTCTGGATGCAATCAGTTTGTCAAGCAGGTTGTCTGGGATTGGGCTGCCATCCTTGTAGTGGCGAGACATTCTTCTCAGAGGCTCCTTCTCCCAAACCCAGTTCTCAAGCATCTGCGAAGGCACCTCCACAAAGTCTGTCTCCACCAGGGTCCCACTGAATTCTGAAAAAGTGGTCTGATACAAACACAGGAGAAGCTCAAGCTCAAGCTCTATCATTCTAATTAATATAAATTACGCAGTATTCAAATACAATTAAATTGCCAATGCTTACCTTAGAACAGAGCTCATGCATAACATGACCAAACTCATGAAAGTAAGTCTCCACTTCATGGTGCTGAAGAAGAGAAGGCCATCCTTTTCTGGGCTTGGTAAAGTTAGCCACCATAGCCGCCACTGGAAGCCTGCGTTTTCCATCAGGTCCTCTGCAGCCAGGCTGCAGCCCAAAGCAGGCTGCGTGGCCATACTTTCCTTCCCTGGTGGAAGATAAGGTTGCAAATGTCACATAGCAAGGCCAAATCTGAACATAAAAACTAATTACATTATATTTCTGTGTTGGTAGACAAACTGGTTAGAGCTAAACCAATTAGTTGATTAGTTGGGTGGAATTAAACATTTACTATTTAAGTGTTTTTTCTAGCACAGGTGCCACACATTCTCTAGTTCCAGCTAGTAAGTTGGGAAGATTTGCTGCTTTTCTCTTGCGAATGTCACAGTGAATTGTATATATTAGATTTTGAACTGACAGACAGAACTAGACATTTTAAAAACATTACGCCTTGTGCTCTGTGAAATTGCAATGGGAATTTTTCTCAATTTTTTAACATTCTATTTTTAGTCTAAAACTCAGCAGCAAGATTATTTGATTTGATATGTATTAATTAATCAAATACTGTAAAACTTCAATTAATAACTCAGGCTCTTATTTGCTTAAATCACTGAACTCACTGTGCCTTTATTTGGGAGAGGTCTTTAATTCCTTTACCATGCTGCTATGAAAGAATAATACTTTGGTGTTCATTGTTTCAGTAAAATGAACTAAATGACTGAATTGTGGAGAATCTAACCAATCCAACGGCGTGTATCATGTCCATTTTGACAAAGGTTTAAACATTTATATTGGCAAGTAGCTCAAGCAGGTGGCTTCAAGAGGTTTTATACATCCAAAGAACTTTTATAAAAACCAGACCAGGCTTCTATTTAAGCATTTTTCAAAACATGTAGCCACACCAGACCAGTAAAAGGGTCTTGTGTCTAATTGGGACTAGGCCTTTAACTGAGGTTTTACAGTAAATGAAAAAATAATGAGTAGATTAACCCATAACGAAAATAACTTAGTCACAGCCCTAAAACTGATCTTTCTTGTCATATACAATTTTTACGTACAGAATGCTATGAGGCTAGACTTTTTGGTCCTCCACCTGCAGTGACACATTCTCTACCTGGGATGCAAGTCCATGTAGAACTGGCCAATTTCCTCTCCTGTCTCAGCGTCCTGGACTGAATATAGCTTGACACTTTCATGCCACACATGAGCATGTTCCACCTCTGTGAATGTGAGACCCAGCAGCTCCTGGTAGATACTAAACAGTCCTTCTGTCACCACGTCAAGCGGGAAATACTCAATTAGTTTGTCCTTGTTCACAGCAAACTTGCACTGCTCCACTTGATTCATGTAGTAGGGTAAATCCCAGGCGTTGATCTGTCCATCAAACTGGTAGCCCTGCATCAAGCACTCCCTCTTCTTAAGTGCAAGAATATATTTCCTCTCCTTGATTCCAATGGGCTTTAGTCTTTCATAGAATGTATCTGTAAAGTTGGAAAAATGTTTAGTTTTTATATACTCAGTGGAATATTTGTAAATCTTT